CTGTCCCACATCAGAGTTCCAGGCATGAAGAGCAGCCTGGGAATTGAATCACATGGCAAACTGAATGGATTTAGGTCCTCAAGAAGAGTAATTTGTTCTTGACCTTAAGGTGTGAGCAGCACTTAGGACTGTATTCTACCTGAAAGACAAGTCCTGTGTGGGGACATCAAGGCACAGAGAGAAGCACATGTTCAGAATTCAGGTCCTGCCATTCTAAGGAACAGCTGGCATCCCAGGAATGTTTAGTGAAGAGATCAGAATGACTGGCCTCTGTAACAGAACCCAAGGTGCCCTTGTGAGGTTTTGAAGGCTTCAGAATGAAAGGGACCTTGAAAGGATGTTTGGATAATTTTTCTGACCCCAATGCACAATGGTCCTGTTTTTAAAAGCTTATCTAGAGAGAAATTCGCTACGTTATTTCTTCTGTAAGACTTTTAATAATCATTCCCTGGAAGCCCTCCTCTGTACCTAACCTATATCCAATCTCTTTTTATTCTACCAAAGGTAGACTGCTAGAGAGGGAGTTTCATAAACTAGAAAGACAAGGCTGAGCTAAGAGATTCCGGTTCCTTTGACCTGTGGCCTGGGGGAAGTACTGTTTCCTAGCCTTCTAAGCATCTCCTGCTTCTCTGCTGTCTCTCCAGGTCCTGGGAGTGAGAGGTTCATAGAAGCTAATAATTAACTCAAAGTGACTAGTTGACTTCTTTTTACTGCAGTTTCACTTTACAGCAGACAGTACCTTATTTTTAGAGGCATTTGTGGCTCTTTCTACACCCAGAAATTGAGGTAGAATGAGAAGGAAATTGTATATTTTCGACTACGTTTTGGAGATAGAAGGAAATTGAAGTAGACATGATCATTGTACCACCAGGAGTCCAGATACCAAGTCTCAGCATCGAGTCATATTCAGTGTTTTGACCTTCCTCCCACCCAAGGATTCTGGTCTAAGTATTCTCAACATTGATTTTACAAGAGAAATTCAATTCCCTCTAGTATATAAATTTCTTTGTGACATTTTAATGTTGTGAACCATAAATTGATCCGTTGTGTTTATTTTAAAAAGTCATCTCTGTTGATGGGAAGAATTACTACAGATATAATTCCGTTGTAAAGGAGAAGTCGCCCTGTCTCCCTGACTGTGGCTTTCTGAGATCAGTCATTTTAGGCATTTTCCAAGCTTCCCGAGCCCTTCATTCATCTCCAGCATTACAGTAATTATACGAGATGGCAGAGGAATTGTTACCAGATAATATCTCAGTAATAGGGAAATTATGAGCTAATTTCAGACCATCTCAAATTAATGAGAATGTTCTTTGTGGAGTGCTACCAATGTAAACTTTCAGAAAATGACAAGTGGGAGATATTGAAATCCTCTGTGGAGCTCAGTACAAGCTCTGCCAGCACACCCTGGTGCCATTATCTGGCGCATTGTTAGGGTGGCTCTTTTATCTTCCTTCTAGGTTTTATTAATTAAATTTCCTCTAGGGCTTGGCTGTGATCAGCAACCTTTCTCAGGGTGAGAGAGGGGAGGGAATGAGGTTCTACATGACATAACTCTGTCTGTAGGACTGAAGGCTGGGCTGGGAGGGCCCAAACCCAAGGTAATGACTGGCGGACTCAGTACCTCTCTTCCACCTGGTCTGGCGTGCCCAGGGGTGGCCTCCTTCATCCCAGCATGGACTTTGCATCTTTAATCTTGTTTTATTAACCTAGAATTATTTCTCCCATGTGGGCATGGCCAAAGGCTGTGCTTTAATGTGGTTGTCTTCAAGTAGTTGACTCCTTTGATCTCAAAATCATTTCCCACTTCCACATATGAGAATACCCTGGTTGGGGGAGTTGGGCACAGGGAAAGGGAAGTCTGATGCTTTCTGGGCACCAGCCCAGCCCTGCTGGGTGTCTGATGCATCTATTTTTGGTGGTACTTCTGGCTAGGGTGCTGTCTCCCCACCACCACTGTTCCCAGCCCCCTCTACCGTTTCTATTTGGGGGTGGTACTTAGCATACTGTGTTTGGAAGGGCTTGCGTGATACTATATACACAAGATTGAGAAAATTCAGTTGTCTATATTGAAGAATGGGGAGGGCTGGAGACGTGAAGATTACAGAGAAGGCTGAATAAAGCTGTGCACCCCGCCCCAGGTCCCTTGGTGGTACCCACTGGCCCTCTCCCACTCGCTCTGTGCTCAAATACCACCCCTTCTGGGAAGTTATACTTCTTGTCTACAGCCCTTCCGAGTTGTCTCCTATTCCTTTTTTATGCAGGCTTTACTCCTCTCTGAATTAAGGCTGGTCTCAGAAGTCAGACTCTCTGGGTTCAGATACTAGCTCTTCTGCCTGTCGACTATCTGAGCTTGGGCAGGTTATTTAATCTCCCCACACCTCAGTGTCTTCAACCGTAGGATGGGATTAATAAGAGACCCTCACTCTAGGTTGTTGGGGGCACCGAATGAGGACTCATGATTAGTTGGGGCTTAGCGCTCCGTAGGTGCTCATGAGCAGAGCCACCGCACCTCACTTGGCCTGTTGTGGGAATGAGGAAAATGCTTCTCTTCCTCATAGATTTCTGCCCCTTCTTACCCTCTCGGCCTGTTGCCATTATTCAGTGTACAAGGTGGTCCCCACTCATGCAGCTGAAGCTGCCGGTGCTTATGATTCAGGCTTGGCAAGTGGCATCACATCCACCCAGCTGCATGAGTCTTCCCTGCACATCCCATTGCTCATTTGAAGTCCTCTTGTCCCGTCTTTCTTCATGTCTTTAGAACTTTCCTATTATTTGGCCATCACCAGCTTAAGTCAGGCCCTGATTGGATCTTGCGTGGCTTCCTTGTTCTAGGAACAAGGACCTTACTCAACCTTCTGCTCTCACGTCTTGCACACCTGTCCCCCAGTCACAGTGTTTCTCCTGCCGGTCTCTAAGATGCGAGTCTGATTGTCATTTCATAACTTGAAACTTTTCAGAATCTCCTCATTGTGCCCTAGTAAGGGTAGCTTGCAAGGGCTGTGGCTCTCCCCCTGCCTCCCTCTGCCACACTGTGTCTTGTACCCCCACCCTCCTCTTGGTGGGATCCCTCCCCCTCAGTGATTGAGCCATATTGCAAACATTTGGGTTAAGCAATGAATGACAGTACTGATACTCTAAAGTCTGAAGAGCTCAAATAAGTTAACTTTGAAGTTAAAACCCAGACACATTTACCAGTGATCACAGACAGGAAAATGTTGATTGAACTCTATTAACGGTCAAAGAAATTAAAGAAATTAAAATTCAAAGACATTTCTATGTACCAAGTACCCAGAGGTTTTTTAAAGTTAATATACACTGTGGACCAAAGAGTTGTGATACATTAATACTCCAGTGAGAGATGGGGGGAGGGTGGGTAATGAGATGTTCNTGAAACTTTTCAGAATCTCCTCATTGTGCCCTAGTAAGGGTAGCTTGCAAGGGCTGTGGCTGTCCCCCTGCCTCCCTCTGCCACACTGTGTCTTGTACCCCCACCCTCCTCTTGGTGGGATCCCTCCCCCCCCCAGTGATTGAGCCATATTGCAAACATTTGGGTTAAGCAATGAATGACAGTACTGATACTCTAAAGTCTGAAGAGCTCAAATAAGTTAACTTTGAAGTTAAAACCCAGACACATTTACCAGTGATCACAGACAGGAAAATGTTGATTGAACTCTATTAACGGTCAAAGAAATTAAGTTAAAGAAATTAAAGAAATTAAAATTCAAAGTACCCAGAGGTTTTTTAAAGTTAATATACACTGTGGACCGAAGAGTTGTGATACATTAATACTCCAGTGAGAGATGGGGGGAGGGTGGGTAATGAGATGTTCAGAAATTAAAATTCAAAGACATTTCTATGTACCAAGTACCCAGAGGTTTTTTAAAGTTAATATACACTGTGGACCAAAGAGTTGTGATACATTAATACTCCAGTGAGAGATGGGGGGAGGGTGGGTAATGAGATGTTCTCTTTCTGGATCGTGGTGATGGTTACACACTGTATGACATTTGACAAAAATGCATCAAAATATACACTTAAAATTAATTCATTTTTATTGTGTATAAACTCGAACTCAATGAAGATGATACAAACAAAACATTGTTGACCAGTATTGGGAGAACAAGACACTTTCATACATTGAGGGGTGGGGCAGTAACATAAATTACTTCCACTTTTCTGGAAGTTAATTTGCTTCTACCTTTCAAGAAGCAATCATCTTTGACATGGTAATTCTTCTTCCAAGATAGCATCCTAAGGAAAGAATCATGAATTCAAGGATGTAAATACAGTATTAGTCACAACATTGATAGCAGCTAAAAACTAAAAAAGAACCAGAATGTCCTTCAAGGATATATCTGTATGGGGGCCACTGCCAGCTCATGAGCCACCTTCATGTGAATTGGGAAAAAGTGTCCTCCCTGGATAGAACAACCCCCTCCAAGGCTCATGAGGAACCGGCTGAATTTCAGCACCACTTGTCCCCTTGCCTAGACTGCAGCCCTGACACATACCACGGCTGACGAAACAGATGTTAAAACTGCGCCTTTGAAGAACAGAGGCATGAGGAAGTGTTTGCAAGAGAAAGTAAAATGATAAAAATTGGAAGTAAAATTTGACATATAACTTTGATTTTTTTCAAAAATATAACATCACTGAAACAAAACCTACCAAGATGTAACTGGTGGTCGATATGAGTGGTAGAATCATTGTTGACTTTGTCTTTTTGTCTGCTTTTCCTAAATTTTCTTACTGTCTGTGCTTTTTCTAGTTATGAAGATAGATATGCATTCTTATATTCCTAGTTTACTAAGGCTCTCTGCAGTGTTGATACCTGCAACAGTGGTCTCTCTGAGCTCAGGAGCAGAAAATGGAAATTCTGTGCTAGTGTTAAGGGTAGCACCGAGGCGTGGGGGGGATGGTGGCCTTGTTGAAGTCTTGGTGATTCCTTTGGGAAAAGGAGATGTCTCTTACCTTTGTCTACTCTTTCCATTCTGCAGGTTTGAGACATTTGAGGTAAACAGCTTTGAGCAGTTTTGTATCAACTATGCAAATGAAAAACTCCAGCAGCAGTTCAACTCGGTAGGCTTGGTTTCTAGACTTGGGGGCATCGGGATGGGGGAGATCTCTCTCTGTGCCTGAGAGCTACAGCCCAGGCTGCTTCTCTTCATTTGAGGGCAGTAGGCACTGTCTTTGCCCTGACCTTCCCATGCTTTCCTGGTGCTGCCCCCTGCTTCAGGAAGGCACTCTCCATTGCTCAGGAGGATGTCTCAAACCAGGGAACTGTGTTGAGAGGGTAAATGATCCTCCCCTTGGCTTTGACTCCCACTCCTCCAAGCCTGGGCTTCTAGGGTATTTAAGCAACCACAAGCCAGATAGATATGGAGCTTCTTGTGCTTGTTGGGGTATAGCAACACAGATAATTATTAAAATGTTCTAGGGAAGAGTTCACACAGGAATGAGAAATCACCTAACTGAGCTGCTGTTTTCTACAGTCATGACTGTGACTTTCCACACCTTTTCTGGCAGTTATCTGCCATCGTCCAGGACCCAGAACTCACAGGACATGAATGTTTAGGTGTACCTGCAGTTGACTCAGTTTGACCTTTTACTTCTTGTCCTAGCATGTGTTCAAACTGGAGCAAGAAGAGTACATGAAGGAGCAGATCCCTTGGACCTTGATTGATTTTTATGATAACCAACCTTGCATCGACCTCATAGAGGCTAAGCTGGGTATCTTGGACCTGCTGGATGAAGAATGTAAGGTAAAACTGATGCTGCTCCTGCAGCTCAGCCAGGAACATCCTCCCTCCCCCAGTCTCTTTTGAGATTCCTCCTTCAGCTTCATACTCCACCTCCCAAAGGCAACACCATGTCCTGTATCCAAATCAGGCCTCTGGGATATGGAGCCAGTGTAGCTCCTCCCAGGACCTCTCTCCCCTCCTCAGTGGTGAAGGAGAAGGTCATACACAGCACTGAAGGCGTGTGGGGCAGGCAGTTTGTCCTGCACAGGTGTACCTGGTTCTGTGATGAAGTGTTCACTATATCGGAAACCATGACCTCCAGGAGACATGGCCTCTCCTTTCCCATTTAGACACAGGTTCTCACAAAAATACCTGAATGCTTCAGGATAATTGATTCTGTGAATTTAGCAGCTGCTTAATTGGTTTTCAGTGACTTACCCTGCCTTTAGCAGGCAAACTAGGGCCACTCATGGATTTGTTTTGGCTTATGGTTTGAGGGTCTGAGAGGTGCTGCTACCTAAGGGAACATCTTGCGGGAATGTCAGAGCAGAGGGGTGGGAACACTGGGTCCCAGTGCACAGCTGCAGAGTCATGTGGAGCAGAGTCTTCAGACTACTATCAGTGGGTGGGCCACACACCACTGAGGGGAACCCCAGAGCAGTGCTGGGCTGGAGGCAGATGGTTTCAGGAATGGTGTGAGATCACCCCTCAGCAGGGCAGTGGTTGTGGGGAAAAGTAGCCGGGTTTAGCCCAAGATGCAAACCGTGCTCAACAGTTATGAAAGGAAGTCCCCAAATGCCCTTTGCAGCCTGGGATTTTCCTAGTCCAGTAGTGATTCCCAGACCCTCTTGTTCTCCATTTTCCCACTGAGTTCATACCTCTTGGGGCATCCCTATTGGAATCTGTTTTCCTTTAGAGAAGTTAAGGAAAGATAAAACTGTATAACGGTGTATCTGTAGATGATCTCTGCTTACGCTCTGTGGATCCAGATTTCAGCCAGATTTGTAAAATTTGGCGATTTAAGCTTAATACTATCTCTAATTCAAACTCCTGCCACTGCAACTTGTCAAACATGAGAATGTATTAGGCACCTATTCCGTGTCTCATCCTGAGGGGAAAACCCTTAGGAGAGGTGGAAGAGATCTCCCTGCTGGCCAGCAAGGAAGAAGAGTGGCGAGGTTGTGTTTGGAGGAGCTTGGCCCCAGTGAGCAGAGTAGGGACCCAGGAAGGTCTGTGGGCAGGCCCAGGGCCCATGTTCAAAGGTCAGGGTCCCGTAGCCTGAGGGCAGGAGAGTGACAACTGAACAGCATCGAGATCAGGGGATGCCACCTCAGAAGGACTGCTGAGCCCCACATGGCTGGTGCGATGCTATTCAAGGTCTCCTTAAGAAGGAAGGTCTGCAGAAAGCCTGGAGTTTTTACTAATCGAGCTGGTGGGGGCTCGGAGTGTCAAGATACTGTGCGGTACTGTGGATGTGAATGTTTAAACTGACTGGCAGTAAAAGTCATAGGTGTGGCAGGATAGGCAAGACAAACACCAAATTAAGGAATAAGACAAAAGCCCACAATGTGGAAACTTTTTGTACCA